TGTGTGTGTGTGTGTGTGTGTGTGTGTGTGAGAGAGAGAGAGAGAGAGAGAGAGAGAGAGAGAGAGAGAGAGAGAGAGAGAGAGAGAGATCATCTCCGTTTCTGAATGTGGCCTGCAAATGTGCCCAGTCGGCCAAGTGGGTGGGCTGGGCAGGAGGCTGTAGCGTGCTGTTTCATTTCAGATTCAAATTTCAAGGACCTGCAGCCTGCTCGCCGTTTCAATTTTTTCTTAGGACCACCTACGGGTCCTTCACAGAATGTCGGGGCTCCCAGCTAGGGGTCCTGCGTTTGCTTGAACTTCCCCCCCCAGTGCCCATGCCTTTCATTTTACCAGCCTTTCGATGACCAATGGGCCCGAATGAAGGACCCGTACAACCAAAGACGACAAAATTGCCTCAGGGGGGGGGTGGGGGGGGAAGAAAAGAAACGCAGCCCTGACGGGCTGCGAACCACCCTTTGGACCAGAATGGACGACCGGTGACTCAGGGGTATAAAACGCACCCCTTACGGGCTGCGAACACCTACTTCTTTCCTATTTTCCTAAGCTTGGCAACTTCATTTTGAAGACTACTACTTTTCATCCGAGACTCGATGGGAGCAGGGGCCACGATTGGCTTATAAATTTAAATTATGCAAGATAGGGGCCACTATTGGACGATAATTTACCCAGAAGAGGGGGGGCCCATGGGCTGACGTTGGGTGCCTACCGATGGTGTTGGGGCCAGTGGACGAACGACTATCGCCACCTGACCATCCTGATGTGTGGGCATAAAAGCAGTCTGCTGACTCTGCTGCTTCAACCGACCGACTCATCGGGTGGAAGCGAAGACGTCGAGCGCGGAAGGTAATGATCATGATTGACAGCGGCGTGGCGAGTCAACCGCGGATAGAATAGAACAGTTGTGACGGCATATATATATATATGGGGGTTTTATGAGGCTTGAGAGCGGTGCGAAGGCAGCGAAGCTGGGGGGGTCAGAACGAGGAGGAGTGGAGCGGGGCTCGCGACCAGGGGGCGGGAGTGCTGCTGTTCTAACAATTCTATAAACGGTAAACCTCAGGAATGAGGGTTGTAGTGTAGTTAAACCTCAGGAACGAGGGGTGTAGTGTAGTTGACGGAGAGCGAAGAGTGGACAGTTTCTCTGCGAGGAGCATGTGTGTGTTCTTCGACTCTCGTAGAGTCGTACACGATCGTCGATCAGTGTGGAGAGTGGAGCGCAGAGTGTCGACGAGAGAGGCGTCACGGCAGTTTGTCGTAATCTTGTGGTAGCCGTCGATCGGAGGCGCCGACGCTGGTGGTTGGGTTGGAAAGGTTCAGTTTACGGCAGTTTGGCGCCATTGAGAACTCATTGTGAAACGTTTTCGGCGAAGGGAGTTGTTGTAGGGTCGGGAGGAAGAAGAAGAGGTAGGTAGGTTCATTTGTTTTTGTTGACTGACAGTGTGAGGTGTGTTGCAGGGACGGTTCCATGTGTGTCGATGCAGGCCAGCGACGGACTGCCGTCTGCGGAGATCGCATCCTATCTCTCTAATACTTGCGGTAGGATAGGAATGGCCCAGAGACTTGGGTGGGTGGGTTTAAAGGGGGTTGTAGCCTTATAGGTATATCTAGGGATCATGTAAGGCGAAGTGAGTTTACCGCAGAGCAGGTGCTGAAGTGTAGCAGTGTAGCAGCGGGAGCGGACACTTCAGTCTGTATCGAGAAGCAAAACTCGATCAACGAAGGGTGAAGGAGAGAGGCTGTTTTGGTAGTTCTGGTGGGGGTGGGGGGCACAGAGACACAGAGAGAGAGAGAGAAAGAGAGAGAGAGAGAGAGAGAGAGAGAGAGAGAGAGAGAGAGAGAGAGATGGCGAGCCACCCAAAAGAAGGGGCATCAAGTCAACCTGGTGCGGGAGCGGAGAGTGATCGTGGGGGATATGTATCTCCTGGGTATTATGCACCTCCGATGATGCCGGCTTACGGCTCAGGAGTGTACGTCATCACTTTCCCGATCAGACCTCTGCTTGGGGAGATATCCGAAGTTCATTTAGAGAGAGTGACGAAGTGGTTCGCTCTCTATGGTGTCCTATTCTCCGTCCTTGGTATCGCGGCGATGGTCTTTCCAAGCATCTTTACGTTAGCAATCGAGCAGCTGATCGGATGGCTGTTAGTGATTGTTGGTTTGACAGCTGTCATCAATGGTTTCCTGGTTTGTGGTGCACCTGGTACTTCCTCCTTCCTCTTGGTTGGTGCTCTCCATCTTGTGGTCGGGCTCTGGATTTTGATTGAGCCCGTTGTGGGGATCGTTGCGTTGACTCTCATGTTGACCGGCTGGTTCTTGGCGCACGGGATTCTCAAGTTGCTGGCCGCCTGGCAGCTGCGCAATTTGTCCACGTGGCCTGCCGTCCTCGTCAGCGGTATTCTCTCGATTATCTTCGCGTTGATGGTTTTCGCTATGTTCCCTGGCAGCGCCGCGTGGCTCTTGGGACTTGTGTTTGGCGTCGACCTCTTAATCACAGGTATTTCCCTTCTGCTGATCGCTCTGATGGCGTACGTTGGCCAGCGGACATACGCAGCGGAGGCGCGTCAGCCATTCCTACCGAATTCTCGAACGCTTGCGTGAGTGGAGGCGGCACGTGCGTGGTTCAGCACCCTGCGGGCCTGCGCCGCTTGATGGAGGCGGCACGTGCGTGGTTCAGCACCCTGGGCATTGAGTGGAGACGGGGCACGTGCGTGGTTCAGCGGCACCCTGGACCTTCGCTCCACTACTCACGGCATGCACGTACGAAGACGAAAACCATGGCAGTGTATCTCCTATGTTCCAGCGGAAGATTCACTCGCATTTTGTACATTTGCAGACGCAGTGGAGTGATGCCCCGTGTATTGCGACCGGCGTGTCAGCTGTGGTGTACCCATGTCATGTCCTTGTTGGGACATCAGTCGAAAGTGGAACCAGTCCCAGAAGTTGGAACCAGTGACGTGTGAGAGGAAATCTGGGCTAGGTTCTGTGCTATTTAGCGTCAACCTGGTCGGACATATGTTTGCGGAAGCAAGGCAGCCTCAGCAGTTGTTAACGTCGTCAATAGGTGTTCGTTTTGTTCGATTTGTCATTACGCTATTTTGCCCATTTGGTAATGAAAAATCAGATTTTCGTTGTTCTGGAGAGAGAGACCTGCTTCAGTGAAATCTGGCTCGAGTCGTGAACAACAGGCGATAGTCGGTGGGAGTCTAAGCAGGGGATCGTGGGTGGTACTGGGCAGTGGGCAGCACTAGATCCTGTCCAGGAGTGTACTTGGAAATTTCATGGTCAAAGATTCCTCTGACGTCGGGATTGCAACGAGACTTGTGAGGGCCTGAGAGGCGCGTGCGTGAGAGTTATCTGGGTAGGTGTGAGGTGTCTCTTTTGTGCACGTGTGAGAGGGCGTGAGGTGCACGTCTGACAGCTGTCCTGTGTAGCCGTGAGAGCTGCGCTGTGTGCGTGAGGGAGCAGCTGTCCTGTGTACGTGTGAGGTGTTAAGAGTTCCGCCGAACCGTAATTTTCATGCATGCATGCGTGGGACTACTGGCGCGCGAGATGGGTGTGTTTGGTGGAACTGTGATACGCAAGGTGCCTGAATGGAGAGTAGGAGAGAGTAGGAGAGAGTAGGAGAGGCGTCTGTGTCCGTGTGAGAATAGCAGTCCCATGTACGTGTGAGAGCTGTGCCGATTCTGACGAACCGTAATTTGCATACTTGGGGAGTACGTGATGCGTGTGTTTGGTGGAACTGTGTTACGTAAGGGCTCCATATGTCTGGAGAGTAGGAGTAGGAGGCCCTCGAGGCCAAATGTTAGGGTTTGACGCTCAGTACGAGACGGTGAATTAGCCGCGAAATGTTAGCATTTGACGTTCGGTCTCATATGTTCAATTCGCCGTTCAGTATGCGGTGGGGTCAGTTAGCGGTTTAGTATGAGATGGTGAAGTAGCCGAAGATCATCGGAAGATGGTCATTGTAATTGAGAGCATGTGTGTAGTTTTGTCGATCGTGGCGCGCAGGCGTCAGCAGTTCAATGGGGACTGTCGACATGTCTTTAGAGTATTGTGATGACGAATGATGGACTATCAAAATTAACCTACTTTTAAACTTCTTGGACTCAGCAGCGCGGATACATAGTCTAATTGGTCTAATTGGCCTTGGCCTCTGATTTGTATTGGTCTTTTGTTGACCTGGCACGGCGTTCGCAGGTGTCCATGGGGACTGTTCATATGTCTACTGGAGTACTGTGACGGCGAATAATAGACCGTCAAAATTCGCATTCGTTACAAGTCTTTGGACTTGGCAGCGTGGATTTACAGTCTAATTGGACCTTGGTCCTTGGTTTGCGTGGGTAGGTACCCGCCCCCCTCCCTTGTTCTCTGGGAGTTCCGAGGAGGGCTGGAGTGTGGAGTACCCAGGATGATGGAATAGCTGAGGTGGGCTGGACTTACGGAGTTCGCAGGATCATGTACAGCTATTATATAGGTGGGTGGCCAAATGTAGAGTGACGTAACACAGGTAACTACGGGGGTGGGTGCACCTGGCCAAGTGTAGAGTGAAGTAACACAGGTAACTACAAGGGTGGGTGCACCTTTGCGGTGATGTGAATAAATCGAGGAGAGCTGGAGTACGGAGGTATATAGGTGGGTGGCTAGGCGTAGAGTGAAGTAACACAGGTAACTACGAGGGTGCACCTGTGCGGTCATGTGAATAAATCGAGGGGGGCTGGAGTACGGAGTACGCAGGGTAATGTTGAGCTATATAGATGGGTGTTTAAGTGTGGACTCTGGAGAGTAGTGGAGAATACCACAGGTAATGACGAGGGGGGGGGGGTACCTGGGTGGTCATGCGAATGAAAGTTGAGTGTTTAAGTAGGTTATTTTCGCACCGTTATTTCTTTCTTGTTTGGGATAAAGTCTCGAGGAGGTTGATGCTGCTTGGTCCTTGGCGGCGCTTTCACCTACACGCGAGCGGACACCTTCAGACTATGCGTATGCCTGCGTGAACGGAGTTTGGGTTCGACTTGGATCTTCACTTGAATCCCTTCTAGGGCATATAGTCACACGAGAACTTTGCTGTAGGGCATATAGTCACGCTAGCACTTTTTAGGTGTATCTGGCTGCAATTACGGTCAGTCCGAAATGCATCTGACCGCAATCACGAGTAGAGCTGAGTGCAGCAAGTCGTAGTGTGGGATGGCCTCTAGTGGGTGGGGCGTCTGACCTCTGTCCTGGTCAGATTTCAGCTTCGGATTTCTAGTGGGCAGGCCTCGTTCGCATTTGAGTGGTCGACTGTATCGATCGCATTTGAGTGATAGACTGGATTCGATATGTAGTCAGAGCTGTTTTTTCGTTTTTCGGGGTATGAAAATCGATGGAGTAGAAAGCGTCTGACCTCTGTCCTGGTCAGATTTAGCTTCGGATTTCTAGTGGGTAGGCGTCGACGCCTCGTTCGTCCTGGTCAGATTTCAGCTTCGGATTTCTAGTGGGTAGGCCTCGACGCCTCGTTCGCATTTGAGTGGTTGACTGGCTCGATATCTAGTCAGAGCTGTTTTTTCGTTTTTCAGGGTATGAAAATCGATGGAGTGGAAACATGTAAGCTCCCTTGGACCGAGGGGGGGGGAAAAAAAGTGAAAAAAAAGGGATCGATGGAGTGGAGATTTGGAAGGAGGTTGACCTATCATATGTGCTTAAGATTTGGAAGGAGGTTGACCTATCATACGGTAGCAAACGGGAAACAATTAAAAAAAAACTGTGGAAGTTGGTTGTTGGGCTTATGATGAGTAATCTGTGGGCATAATTGCGGTTAAGTGGACGCACGCCTGGTCCAAAAAGCGGTCATATACATTCATGAAATTCGTAGTGTGAGAGTCCTGAGTTTCGATTTATAGTATTTGATGGACATGTTAATGATGTTTTCTTTCTGAGGATGGAAAAAGAAGGGAGAAGGTTTTACCTACCTGACGTGATGCCTAATTATAGATTGGTAAGGAAGGCATGTGAACGTATATTCCCGCTCTCCATGGAAAAAAAAAAAAAAGAAGAAGGCTGAGTGGGAGGGTTGGCATTCGTGCTTGAAATGGGGTTCTCTCCTTTTGTTTGTCATTATGGGCGTTGCTGGGCGTTGCTCCGCCACATAGCATACTGAATGTATGCGGCCCTGCTATAGGTCTGATATATTTTGAAGTCCAAATGAATCTGGTCAAATGGCAGTCCAAGTATCTGTCGGATGTCGAGTAATGGAGCCGAGGCCACAACGAGTGTGATCTGGAGTTAGTGTGGACTTTGTGGAGAGATGGGAGACGATGAGCGATGGGTTCGGTTTTTTTTTTTCCCCCTTTTTTCCCGATTGACTGCGCTCAAAAACACTGGAAAAGAAAAAGAGGAAACCGTGGTTCCATCAACGCAAAAGAGAGAGAGAGAGAGATAAGAAAGCCTTACGTAGCAGACCGAGAGAGAGAGAGAGAGAGAGAGAGAGAGAGATAAGAAAGCCTTACGTAGCAGACCGAGAGAGAGAGAGAGAGAGAGAGAGAGAGAGAGAGAGAGAAGACAGCCTTACGTAGCAGACCGAGAAAGCATAACCGTTAGCAGGAAACCGACGTGGATGGAATAGTGGAGTTGGATTTCAAAACGGAATACTCGAGGGGGACTACAAATGGAAGACAGAATGAGATAGAACTTAAAAGCCCACGACAAGAACGACTTGTCAATTAGTAGATGTATTCTCATGTAGATACAGGGATGACGGTCAGTTCCTTGTGAACATTTGGTGAAGCAGTGAAACAGTGCAGCTGAATTTTCCTTGGACGCTTGAAACTTAGGTCCTCGCTGCTCTGTATAACCTTCCAAACATATCTGGACGCGGGCTGGTACAGATGCATTCAAAATATTATATCCGTTCACGTGTGTGGTTCGGGTGTGGTTCGGGTGTGGTTCGGAAAGACGTCCAGTTACATGTGAAGAATGCTGAGTAGTGGAGCCAGGCTTTGCTTCCTAGACTTGTTGTCCCGCCTCCGTCTCCCTACCGGTGGTTCGATTTATTTTTTTTTGTTGTTTTTTGAGAGCAGATGTCAATATATTTCAGATATGGGTAACCTTGAGGCCGGGGACCTCACAATTCAACCCGGGGCTAGGTCCCACTTACACGAATTAAGAGATATTGACCGTAGAGAGCAAAGATCAACGGTCAAAATCTCGTAATCCATGCAAGTGGGACCTTGCCCCCGGAGTCACATGTCAGGCCCAGAGCCCATCTGAGAACCGGTGGTTCGAACTTAAACGGAACAATGGGCCTCGCTGCACTACTCTCCAGATGCACAAAAGACGAAAAAGATGGCAATTTATCTGTCCATGTTCTAGCGGCGGATTCAGTCTCATTTTTCACATTTGGAGAGTAGTGCAGCGAGGGGCAAGCAGTCAAGGCGGTAAGTGCCTCGCTCCACTTCTCAGCAGTTGATATGTACCTAGTCTTCTTTCCGACCCACACACTCGGAACGGATCGAATATTTTTAATCCATCTGTACCAGCTTAAATTTTTTTTTTTTTGTGTTAGCAGAACAAAAGGAACAAGTCTGAGGCCGGGAATCCTCCTCAAACAACCCGGAAATAGAGACCAATAGAATGGGACCTTTACCCATCTTAGGTGTGGGCGTTGGAATAGCTCCAGCTGCAGAAATGGCCAACTCCCGACCGCTGCACTGAGATTTCCAACTCCCCAAAACAAAGAAGAATGATCAAACAAAAGAAAAAGAAAGAAAAAATAAAAACAGAGGGAACACCACACAACAAACTAAAGGAAAAGAGGCAAACAAAGGGAAACCCTCGAGGCGACAACACTAACAAGCCAATAAAACCTACAGCTAAAACTTTGACCGAGTCCGGCGTGCCTCGTCGCGGGCTGACTGATAGTGATAGGATTGGAACTTGGGGCCTCGCTGCACTACTCTTGACATGGACAAAATACAAAAATCATGACCGTGTATCGTTCCATGTTCTAGCGGAAGATTCACTCTCGTTTTGCACATTTCGAGAGTAGTGCAGCGAGGCCCTGGAACTTGGAAGAGAGGTCCATGCAGTAGAGCTCTGAGGCTGCTGCAGAGGGCATAGGGAGAATCTGTGGACTTACGCAAATGGGCCTGGCTCCACTACTCTCGAAATGTGCAAAACGAGAGTGAATCTTCTGCTAGAACATGGAAAGATACACAGACATGATTTTTGTCTCTTGTGCATTTCGAGAGTAGTGCAGCGAGGCCCAATCTATGACTAAGTACAAGAGCCTACTCCTGCTACTAAAGGCCACGAACGTGTGTTTTCCTGAAGTATCCGTGGGCCTCGCTGCACTACTCTCGAAATGTGCAAAACGAGAGTGAATCTTCCGCTAGAATATGGAAAGATGCACCGCCATGATTTTTGTCTTTTGTGCATGTGGAGAGTAGTGAGCGAGGCCCCTTGTGTCAGTCTGGTCACGTTCAGGCAGGTAATCTCACCTGCTCTTGCTTTTACTTGTGCTAGACTACAGCAACTTCTACCGTGAGGAGGATCTTCCTCCTACTCCTCCCACTACTACCACTACTACTACTACCAGGCGCTACTGGTAGTACTAATAGTGAGTGCAATCATGGTCAGATTCTTGCTAAGAAAAAGTCTCAGTGCGGGTGTGCTCTTTTTTTTTTTTTTTTTTTAATTTAAAAAGCAAACGCCCAATTTATCAAAACCACATATAACTGAGGCCGGGGACCTCACAATTCAACCCGGAGTTATCCTGGAAGCCACAGCCAGTTTCGCTTGTCTGTCGGCCCAACCTGACGCAAAGGTTTGTGAAATCAACCGAAAACCGCAAATTACCTACCCTATCGACTCTCAGCGTTAGACCACTCTGACAACCCCGGTGGCCCTCATTGGTTCTAATCCAAACCTTCGGCCTCCAATTCCAACCAAAGCTGTTGTGGGCCCACTGAGTGACCAAGTGAAACCCTGCTTTGAAACTAACCAACCAACCCACTAGTTACCCATAACTACTAATCCTAACGTTCATTCTCCCATCAATACAGACAGTACCAAGGAAAGTCGCAAAAAAAAAAAAAAAAAAAAACACCCTGAGTGCATTATCCTTATTCGGAGCGGAGCCACTTGGAGAGGAGGACCAACTTCCCTTCCAGCGTAACTGCAGCAAGTCTGTTTTTTTTTCCCCACCTATGGGGAACTTGGCCCCTCTCGTTTCGAATTTGGAATTGGTGGGCCTACCACTGGAAGGAGATGGGGGGGCCGGCGGAAGTGGGGTGGGAAGTGGAATGGGCTGGAACAGGCATCTTACCCCCCTCGCTGTCCTACAACAAGGGGTGGGGATATGTGGCAGTGTCTATCCGTGTGGCAGCTATGTGGTGGATTTGGAAGGAACGAAATTGGGTACTGTTTAACCGCAAGTACTTTTCGGACCCTATGCTGAAAGGGGGCATGAACCGCAAGTACTTTTCGGACCCTATGCTGAAAGGGGGCATGAAAGCCACTGTTCATCATATGATAACAGTGGACTGGAGGAAGAAAGTTCTTTGCAGAACAGGTCTGGCCAGGGACCGGGCTCAGTTGTGGTTCCTCCGCTTGTGGGGTGTGCTTTTCAAGGCTTTGTGGTGGAAGAAGCCAAACGAACTGGCAGAGGTATCCTTGTGAACATCCACATCATCCTCACCATAGCTGTCCTATCTGCCGAGGTGGGGACAGGTAAAGAAAAAAAGAAAAAAAGAGGAAAAAAGAAAAAAAGAAAGAAAGAAAAAAGAAAAAAAGAGAAAATAAGAAAATAAGAAAGAAAAAAGAAAAAATATGTTGATCTGTGGGATGTGATGTTTGCTTTGTGACAATTGGATTATCTTCCTTTCCCTGTCAGGTTTGGTTTTCTCCTCCTTTTCCTTACCTCTTTGCCTTTTGGCTGTGTGCAAGTGGGTCCTTGTGACACACAAGGGGATGGGGGCAGCCAGCGCTCAACCTGTCATCCACGTGGCTGGCCTTGTACGTAGGAGGTGATGAACAGGTGGGGCTTTCCTTCTTTTCCTTTCCTTGTTTTGCCTTTTTCCGCCTTTGCGCTCCAATTCTCAGTGTGACAATATTACCGGGCAGTTCTGTTTGTGACGATATATGGGTGAAACTCCGACGAAACAGTTTGTCACAGCCCCTCGTTTGTTGTCCTCTTCTCTCTCTCTGCCTACGGTTTACTGGGCAGTTCTGTTTGTGACGCTATATATATTTATGAATTGATATGAATTGATTTTTTTTTGTTTCCTTTTTTTTGCTTTTGCGCTCTGATATCTATGTGGCGATATATATATAATTTTTTATTTTTATTTTTTTTTCTCATTTGTGCTCTGATATTTTTGTGACAATATATATATACACAGAGAGAGAGAGAGAGAGAGAGAGAGAGAGAGAGAGAGAGAGAGAGAGAGAGAGAGAGAGAGTCCCCAACCTCCCCCACTCAGGTCCCAACCCGCCACCAAACCTGCAACACAACCCTTGGACCCTGTCCACCGCCCACCCAACCCCCCMAAACCCCCSCCCCSCCMAAAAAAAAWAAAAAWTATGTGCAACCCCCCMATGTGTTCCCCTCCAGGTGTGCACGCTCATTTTTTGGTAAGCGCATGTGCCCATTTGAGCACGGACTTGGGGGGGTTTACCTCGCGCATAAGCTAGCGCTCGTGCTCACGCTTGAACGGTTACATAAGGCCAAATGGAAGGATCCGTATGAATGATGAAAATGCTAAGGGTGTATAGAACTGAATGTGTAGGATCATGAAAACGCCCAGGATGTGCATAACACATACCTAAAGGCATCCCCTATGCCAACACTGAACGCGTCCTACCATGGAAGTGCCTACAGGGGCATAGCGATACATGTCCTACGCCAACACTGAACGTGAAGGTGTCCGACCACTTGGATGGTATAATGCAGGACGAAACTGCGCAGGGTGTATAAACGCATCCCGTATGCCAACACTGGATGTGTCCTACCATTTGGATGCCAGCACTGAATGCGTCCGACTGTTTGGGTCAAACCAAAAGCAAGAACCGGGATCATAGTGAACAATGAAATTGCCCAGGGTGTTCAGAGGCATCCCCTATGCTAACACTGAATTTGTCCTGATCTGGGGACTCTCATTTTTTGACTTCGAATCTTGGATAGCGACCCGTTAGAGAGGGCAGTGTGGTCACGGTGAAAAGGCA